GGGGCTCAGGAAGGGTCCGGTGAGTGGGCGGGGCTGGGCGGGGGGCTGTTTCCGGGGAGATGGGGGCGGGGGCGTTCCTGAGTCTGAGGCGGTGGGTATGGGCCCTGACTTTCTTCTTCCTTCGCTGCCGCGAGCAGAGGTGGCGGGGCCGCCCCTTTCCTTCGCTCCCCCCTCCACGAGGAGGCTCCTGCTGTGCACGGCCGGCCCTGGCTCGCTCCTCCCCTTCCCTCTCCGCTCCTCGTCAGGAGGAGGGAGGGCTGGCTGGGCCCTAACCTCCCCAACCCCTCCTTCTCGCCTCACTCGTTTGGCTTTTCCCCTCGGCCCTGACGCAAGGCCGGGAGCGCGCACGCACGTCACGCTCCGAGAAAGCCGGAGGTGAATGGTGGCGTGCTCAAGGGAGGCAGGAACAAAGTTGCCGCGCACCAGCGTGCTCGCTCCCGTCAGGGACCGGCCGACCGCACCGGAAGTGGCGTGATGAAGAAGCGCTAGACTTCCGGCGAGGCTCGAACTGTGTGTGCAGGAGGGTTAAAAAAAGGAGAGGGCTGGTGCGCCTCCCACTGCTGTCGCTTGAGACTCTCCCAGTGGTGGCACTCCCGTCCTTCCTGTTGCTTGCGGAGTGCCGGCTCCGGCTCTCCAAAGATGCCGCACTGCCTGCTTTTTCAGTGAAAGGCCATCGCGGGAACGAGAATCTTCGGAGACTGAGAGGAATAATGTTGTTGGTGGCCTTCTGGACTGGGGTCACCCCATCGCCTGCCCTCAGCCAAGTCTCAGCATTGGAACAGCTGCGAAAAGAGAGGACACCCCGCAAAAGAGTGCGGAGATGGTGTTAGCTTAACTTGTCTCACGTACATCCGAGTCGAGGCCCCATCTTAACCTGAAAACACACTTGGGAATCACGGTCTGGCGCTTCGGTAACTGAAGTTCATTTAAAAAAAGAAAGAAAGAAAAAAGAAAAGAAAACTTTAAATCAGTCCGGGTTATCAGTGGAATGTCAAAAGGGACGACTGAAAATCTCAGGATTTGCCGGGGGCCTTGAAACCTTGTTTGAATGAGGGCTGCCCTTTTGGTACTTCACCCACTTTCGCCTTAGTATCTAAACCTGTGGGGCTGCAAACATAACCATATAGTGACCTCACATCTCGTTTCTTGCCTTAGCAGGATTCTGCTTCAGTTATAGACTGATACTCAGGATAATTAAAGTCGAAATGTTTCATTGGCTTGGTTTGGTTGGAAAGGAAAGCTAAGCAAGAGTGCAGTGTTACAACACCAAGGTCACAGGTTTGGATCCCGGTACCGGCCAGCCGCCAAAAAAGCAAAACAAAAAGGAAAAGCTAAAAAATAAATAATTAAAAGAAAAAGGAAAAAAATTTTTTTAAAAAGGAAAAGCTAAGCAGTCTGTCCCTGTCCCATGGCTACACTTACCCCTTCGCAAGTTTATTTATTCAAATTATCAGTTGGTTCTTAGTTCTTAAACACTTGTCATCTATCCATCAACATATTTTAATAGTCACCATCACTATATCACAAACTACTGATCTAAGCTAACATCAGACTTCACTGTCAGCATACAAAGGGTGTTTATTTGCTGAAGGATAAAGAGGAGGCAAAGAAATTGGTAATCTTAAAGTCAGGACAGTTCCCTGAAGGGCAGGCCTGGGTGGGCCACACGGTGGGATCTTCAGTGCAGCCAGAAATAACGTAGTAAGGACACTGGGAAACTTAGTAGGGGACAAGATGCCTAAAACAAAGTTCTCCTTGGCAGCATTGCTGAGTGAAGATCCTATAGCCAGCCTCCTACTAAAGAGTAGTTAGCAAGTGGCTTTTTCCAAAAAATAGGATCAACCTGTCTCATCATCCTGCTTTCCAAACCCTGTAATAGCAGAACAAAGAGCAAAATAAGTTTATCTAGCAGTTCCCCACATACATAACCAGTTCCACTTGAGAATGTCATCTTATGCTTGCAGAGAACTATTGATCCATAGTAAATGGGTAGTTGCCAATCCAGGTTACAAACAGAAAACATGTACTAAAATGTTTGTAGTAGGGTTCTGCCACCCACATGTTTCATCAAAGATTCTATTTTGGGTGGAGGCAAAGTGGTGAATGAAACATTTTGAGCTCCCCAAAGGCACTTGCCTACATGCTGTGAAATAATAATTAATAGGATTCAAACTCCAGAAAATGGGAGGCATAATTATTAATCATATCCCCTTCCAATTATATAAGTTTTTCAGTTTGGACATAAATCTCTTATCACTCTACCTAAAAAAATTATTATCCACATTTTACAAATGAGGGAAGTAAGGCCTAGAGGGATTGTCTTGCCCAAAGTACACTTCAAGTAAGTGTGAATCTGGCATCCTAACCCATGTATGTCTGGCTTTGAAGTCCATGCTTTTCAGAATTATAAGATGCTTCAGTGTTATTAGTGCTCCTGATATTTATATTGAGCTCAATTATAGCAATATATTCCAGAAGCAAAATAAGAAAGTATAACACTAAATTTATAATAAAATATTGTGATTAATTTCACTAGTAAAGCTCTGGAGTAGGGCCGGCCTGTGGCTCACTCGGGAGAGTGTGATGTTTATAACACCAAGGCCATGAGTTTGGATCCCCATATAGGGATGGCCTGTTAGCTCGCTTGGGAGAGCATGGTGCTGACAATACGAAGTCAAGGGTTAAGATCCCTTTACCAGTCATCTCTAAAAAAAAAAAAAGGAACTCCATAGTGATAGATGTGCCTCTCCCATGCTCATTTTTAACACAGTTCAGAGGCCCATGGTGCTAGCAACCTTTTGCAGGAGGGCAATGCTGCTTCCATGTGAGTTTCCAATGGTTCAGTACAGCTGAAAGATACCTATTTACGGAACAGGAATGGTAGAGTAAACTTCTAGTAGCCTTACTATATGGATTGTCCTTTGCTTATAAGTTAATAGTACTCTTGTTTTGTTAGGGGTATAAATGTGCTTACCTAAAAACTATTTCTCCCAGCATTCCTTCCAGATGAGGAATGTGACCATTGGTTCCTACCAATTAAATGTAAACAGAAGTTCTTGGATGAAGCTTTTGGAAATGCTTCACCCTTACTTTTCCTTATATCTGGAACTTGAATGCAGTAATGGAGTTTGAACAGCCATCCTGTGACTACAAAGGAATAAGCACAGGCTGAGGATGGCTGGCAGAAGGTAAAGTAGAAGGGCCTGACTCCTGGGGACATTATGGATCCATCCAACCAAAACTGGAATAAAAAAACAAATAGAAAATTGTTTTTAAAAAGCCACTGTTTTTTCAATTTTATTACAGTCAAATTAAATCCCTAAATATTACAATGACCCATATCCCCATCCCACTTCCACGGTGGATATCATTAATGTCAGCACTCTTTCCTGCTCATCCTTAATATAGCCTCAGAATCCAGTACTGCAGGCATCCATTACCAATAGATCAGGGACAGTGCCAACATTGAAATTATTCTTCA